GAGAGAGAGAGAGAGAGAGAGAGAGAGAGAGAGAGAGAGAGAGAGAGGCAGCTGGAGTAGGCAGGCGAGCGGGCAGCAGAGAGCGCGAGCCCGAGCAGGAGTGGGCGCCGAAGAGAGAGAGAGAGAGAGAGAGAGAGGATTGGAAAGATACAGAGGAGATTAGCATGTCCCAAAAAAAAAGGTGTGAATGTATCTGACGCAGACAATGGACCAGATACATTCACACTTTGGTGGGCCGAGCAGCACACACACACAAAGAGAGAGAGAGAGAGAGAGAGAGAGAGAGAGAGAGAGAGAATGCGGCGGCGGGGCGCCGTCGGCGGCTTTTCCTGTACTGACAAAGTGGGATCGTTTTCCAGCCCGAAACCATTCCCGCCAGAAGCCAAAAACGAAAAAAAGAAAAACAAAAAAAAGGGAGGGCCTGCTAGGCCAGGCCACCTCCCGTTTTTGCCCATTATCGAACCGGTAGGCCGATGAAAGAATACTTCAATGTTTTTGTGCTGTTTCAAACTGCTTCACGGCCCAATCTTGCAGTGGACTGTTATTTCTGCGAATTCTGAACTGGGCAGCAGTCACAGGGGCAGTTGTCTCAAAAAAAGAGAGGCATCTTCAACTGCCAAAAAAGTTGAAAAAACTCAGCAGTTCTAATTTGTAAAGCTCGTTAGAGGCAAAAAAACAAAAAATAAAAAAGCTGATTCATATCGAATGTCCCCTCCCTCTCCGCAACTTTTTGGGAGCTTTGCCGATCAGCTTGGCACCTATCAGGGGTTTGCTGAGCTTTGGTGATCAATTTGTCACCCATCTACAAAAGCTCATCAACCCCCTGATATACGGTACCAAAAAACCCCAAATTGAAATATGAACCGAAAAATCTTTTTCGAATCCAGAAACCAGTACTACTAAAGTGGCTATACATACCAACTTTTTCACATATATCTATGCTTTGATAGGAACTGGAAGTTTTGAAACTGGTTGGTATACTACCATAATGAAGTTACCTTTCATTTTCTGTATTTGGATAGGTTTTGTTTTGGCTTCTTTTGGAGGTTTCCGAAGTTTAATACGTCAGCTTTCAAGTATCACTCAGTCTCTTTGATTTTAGAGAATCGCAAGGTACAACGGAAGCTCTCTTTGATCCATGGACTTCCTATCGGTACATCTTTACATGGCGCCGATTGCCTTTTTTTTCAACATATCTTTACATCTTTTCTAATTATTCTAATTATTATATTAAACTGATAGCAACAGGTACGGCATTTGAACTCAGCCTCGTGACTTTTTTTTTTTTTTTTTTTTTTTTGAACTCAGCCTATATTCTTTTTCTTCTTGTTCTTTTCTTCAATTAAAAAAAATAAAGAAAACAGAACGGTTCTGGCTCCGTTCCATTCGTTCTGGGGAGCATCAGTCCAGTTCCTATCCCACCGGCAAGTCAGAACAGATACGACACTCGAACTCTGCCTATCCTCTTATTAGTAATATAGCTTCCATGCAGTCTCTGTAGCAATTGCTGTTAATGAATGTATCTGGACGTTCAGACAGCCAGGTGAACGATTGTAGGCTGTACTGGGATTTGCAGCTGTCCGCGACTCTGTATGCATGCTGACAGAGGCGTTGAAGCGAATCAGCTGGAAAATACAAAAGGAAAGCACAAAGCTGTTATATACCAAACACAAAAACGGAAAGAAGAGAGTAAAAGGGCAAAAATATTACTCTCACGGGCACTTTGTAAAATGTATCTAACTGCAATTACGGCCAGATTCGCACCAGTCTGACCGCAATCACGTCCAGAGCTGTGTAGAAAAAGTACTCGCACGTGCGAGTACTACCCACCCTTATTTTTTTCCCCAAAATTCAACTGGACCACCAAAAAACAAGAAGAGAAAAAAAAAAAAAAAAAGACTACCATTGCCCCTGTGCAAGGATGGCATGCATAAATCGAGAAATGGCGCGAATTTATCAGCTGAAAAAAAAAAAAAAAAAAAAAAAAAAAAAAGGGAACCGAAAAAAATCAAAGGAAGGAAGAGAGAGTTGTGCTGCTGACCACGAACGGCTGCCCGCCTGCCAGCAAGCCTAGTATTCACTCGGTGTCTGGATGTGATTTCCGCTCGTCACCGGTTGAGAGTCTTTGCTCACATTGGCATCGCTCTCGTCCAGACTTCTCAGCCGTTCCTCGATGGCTTTCATCATCTGTTGCTTGATGTCTCCCTCCACCGATTCTCTCCTCGTTTCCATTCTTAGAAGCTTCTTCTTCAGTTTTTCCACCATCCTCTTCAACTCCTCCACCCTCTTCTCATCCGTCTCAACGTCCAGCTCTGCAATTTGTTTGTTAAAATCCTCGTCAATCTCCCGTAGGTTTTTATTCAGTTCGTTCTGAGCCTGCCTGGCCTCTTGCTCCGCCTGCTTCGCCCTTTCCATCAGCTCTTTCGCCAACTTCACCTTCGCATCCGTCGATTCTTTCACGCTGGACATGGAAACCTTTTTCTCCTCCTCCAGCTCCTCAGCGTCCCGCTTACGCTTCAACAGCCTCGATTGAAGTAACAAATATTGTTGTTCACTGTCGGCCAGCTGCTGCCTCAGCTGCTTCAGTGTCTTCTCAAATGCCTGCCAGTCACCGTGACATGATGCCACGTTCAATTTGATTCAAAACGCGCATGTCCGTAAATAAATCCAGACGTAGTTATGAATGAACGCGCACGGACACGTTCAATTTGATTCAAAACGCATATTAAATAAATCCAAACATAGTTACTCGTGAGTGCGTACGGACAGGAAAACAACAACAAGAACAACAAGAACAACAAGAACAACAGCAACGGGCCAAACTCAGTGGGTACACGCACAAGGGCCACAAACTGTCCAAATACAGAGCTGTTTCTTTACAATTTTTACCTGAGTTCGAATGCAAGAGTCTCAGAGAGAACGAGATGCACGTCGAGATTCTTGAATTACCCGGGGCCAGTCAGTTTGACGATGATATCTCAACTTGGCCGTAACGGTTGCCCGTTCGAATAAGGACTTATAAACTTATTCATATGCAAAAATACTGCACCATCATGATGAGATATTGGTTGGTGGGGTGTTCCACATTAAAAATTCAAGGTGGCCTACTTTACTACTTCGTTAAATTTTCCTCCTCTCTTTTTCACCTCTACATTAAATTTTCCTCCTCTCTTTTTCACCTCTACTATGTAAACTTGACACCATGCGTTCCCCGGTAGTGTACGTGTAGTAGAGAGATGAAGAGAGGAGGAAATCAAAAGGAATCATGACAAAGTCGAAAAGAAAAGGGAAAAATCACGATCACTGATTCACTGTTTCACAGCAGAAAAGGCAAGTCTCAGATCACCCATCTGGGCCATCTCCTCGAGTTTTCCCAAGATCACGTCTCTTTCAGCTTGAAGTTGAAGTTCCCCCTTTCATTGATTTTTTTTTTTTTTTTCCCCTTTTTCTCTCAGATGAATCGAATTTCAATGCTTTCAAACACTATGTTCTCCAGTCTCCAGAGACTCAGTCGAGACTAGTACAGACATGCAAATGCACCCACCCACGTTATGGGCCACATACACAAGAGTTTAGCAGGCATAACAAACGTGCACACACACACACACACACACACACACACACACACACACACACACACACACACACAGTCTGAGTAACTTACCTCTTCCACTGCCATTTGCAGCCTCCCCTCAACCGAGTGTAGAGAACTCATGGAGCCACTCAGTCCCATTTCTGTGCAGCGGTGAAACTGACGAGCTGTTACAAAGGTTTTTGGAGACGGCGCAGAAGATTCCCCAGCTTTGCTACGAACATTGGCTGCAGACTGTTCCACGTGACTAGTTGGCTGAATCTCCGATTCCCTAGCATTAGGACCGTTGTCATGTCCCTCGCTCAACAGCCCTGGACGTCTTGTCTCCTCAGACATAACGTTTTTGTCCACGACCCCTCCTTCACCCTGACCTTCACCCTCGTCTCCTCTCCGCATTCTTTCTCGTGTTTCCTCCACAATCACAGTTTCACTCCTTTCTCCCTGTTCCTCTCTCTTCTCAGTTACAGACACTTTTGTAGTGACAGTCGTCACTTCAAGCATCTCTCTCTCTCTGTGTGTGTGTGTGTGTGTGTGTGTGTGTGTGTGTGTGTGTGTGTGTGTGACACAAAAGAATCGTTAACTCCCGTGTTGGTGATGACCCTGACAAGAGAGTTTGCCGGATGGGACTTGTACCAGAGTGGATCAGCAAATTGGGTCAGACGGTCTTGTCGCAGTTGATAACCTCACGTCTCTAGACCCTCAGATCTAGGACACGTAGGACACGTGGCAGGAGACTGTTCTTCTGTTAATCACTTCCAAATTCCGGCAATGCACTATCTTATCCTCTAACTTCCCAACTCCTCTTGAAGACGCGCGGATAGAAACGAATTGCTGAGAAAACAAGATTACATCTCGTCAGAAAAATGTCCTTCAGGACAGCCGCTAAAATTGGGACGATATGGAGAAGAATACCATAATGAGACACAAAAATCGAGAAATGGTCCCAAAGAAAAAAACAAAAAACAAAAAACAAAAAACATTTCATCAGAAAAGAGGAAAAGGTGCCACAATTTCTACTTTTTTCTCTTTTAGGCGATGTAGAGTTTTCCGCAGTTCTGTAATATTCTAGCCCTTGCCCCTGGGGCCAAGCACCAGTACCAGAGTAGAGTTTCCTAAACACCCAAATCTGGAAGTGTTTACAGAGAGGTGCTATCGAGGAAACTCGACACGCTTTTCTGCACATCTCCACAAACAAGCCAGATTCGAGCGTCGAGGAAACTCCATGCTGCTAGTGGATGTGGTCCCCCTTCCCTTCATCATCGGATTCACGACCCAGGAAAAAGGAAGAAAAACACACGTTTAACTTGGGAGGAAACTCGATACGTTCAGGGGCAGTCTCCTCAGACTGACACATTTTCTCACCTTTTTATTTTTATTTTAATTCTGGGCCTTGTGATGACCCAACCAAACACGGACTGAGACACACAGCTGATTTCCGAGTTTTGCTCATGGACTGAATGCCTTGCTGAGTCTCCCGCTTGCTAATAAGTTCTGCATGTCTGTGTGTGTGCACGCTTGCTTGGTCTGCATGTCTGTCTGAATGCTGGGTGGCTTGAGTACGTGTGTGACCCGCAAGGGCACCTGTTTGTTCGTTGGGGTACTTACCTGTGGCCGTGACATTGAGGATTGCAGCGAGGGAAAACACTCGAAGTGCGCCGGGGGAAGAGGCCCACGACACTTGAAGCAGCGGGGGAAACACTCAAACAGGCAGGCCGGTACCACACCCAGAAGTGGTAGATGTGCCGGGTACTCGAGGCCGAGTAGAAGAAGACAAATAGGCTAGGTCTAGGCGGGTACCAGTCCAACCAGTCTGTGTCTACGGCCTGTACGGGCAATATCAGAGTCTGCAATGATGTTTCCCTCCGAAAGTGAGGAGGTACCCGTTGCTTGGAAGGCCGAGCGGCCTGGAAGTCACCGCATGAAGAGGCAAGCAGGCCGCTATATCTCCAGGCCGGGCGAAGAGCCCAGCCTCATTGTTGATGTGCAAGTTTGGCGACAAAGTGGTTGGAGCGCTGGCTGGAGCAGCACTAGCTTGGACCAGCGCTGCTGGGGAAGGAGCAAGGACACGGAGGAGGAAGAAGAGCAGGAGGAAGGGGAAGCGCCAGAGGTATTTACCTGGCTATGGTGGCAGCCATCTTCATCACCTTGGTGGGCGCTGCAGCAGGGAGACCCCAGCTGGGGAGAGCTACACCAAGAAGCTTCAAGGCAGAGTCAGGCATGGCAGCCTGAGCTAGAGCAGCCATAGCTGCTTCGCGTTGTCCTTTGCACAGCTGGGCAAGGCCCCAGTAGTCCGCCATAGCCTCGGCCTATGAGAGTGAAGAGTGAGGGAGGCGTCCATGGCTATGGTGAACCTTGAGTGATACCTGCAGTAGAAGAGGAACTCGGCCATCGATTTTGGATCAGCAATTCAACATTGTACTATTATTTCTTGTGTGAATAAGAGAGCAGTAAAGGAGGAGGAGAGTGCTGGGTGAAGAAGAAGAGTTTTGTCATTTGTTTATGCTGGTGTACATCATCTTCTTCTTCTTTCTTTCTTCTTCTTCTTCTTCTTTCTTCTTCTTCTATGCTGGTGTACATCATCTTCTTACCTTCTCTCTCCTCTCAAGTTCATTCATTTCTTTCTGCAATTGGACGGCATTATACTATCTCATGAATGTGTATCTCAAAATTGGCCAGGATCATAACAGCCTTACCTATTTCCAAACCTGTTTTCATTCCTGACCCATCAAAACACCGGCCAGGAATGAAAACCCCTTCAGCGACGAGAAAGAATACCTTGCACAGTTGACGGCCAATGCGATTGTGAGAAAGATCTACTGTCCTACTATTTGCACGGCAACCAAAATAGGACCGTCCGATTCCTTTGCTATCTGTGACTCAAAAGCCTGTCACACACACGAACGGTCCTCATTCCTATACTTTCCTGACAGCTCGTGGGCCTTGGCCCTGGGACCACTTGATACCGGGCCAAAAAAATATAGAAAAAAATAAAAATAAAACTTTTGGTCAAATTTGGTAAAGAATTTCGATGTGGTCCTGCCTCCTGAGGCAAAACTTGTTCAGTTGCCCCCCCCAGCTCCCCTTCTTTCCCCCCCTTAACAGTGATGGAGGGGGTGCCCGCATCCCTTCTGCACCCACTACAGCACCTTCCTGTGCCAAGAACCCCCCCAGCGCCCCCTCCCCACGGCGTTTCAACCCCACCGTAAACGCGCGTTCAAATCGTTCAATAACTGAACGCTGAACCCCGCGTTCAATGAACATGCGGTTGCACAGCGCCCGTACGCGCCCCAGCCAGCCTGCATAGCACAGCTTCGCACGACAATGCAGCAGCGTGGCCGCAATGCCTGGACAGGCCATAATACCCTCCCAGTGGGCCACACACTTTCCTTCAATATGGAGAGAGTACCCGCTACTGCCTGGCCTGGCCAGGCATGTGGGGGGGTGCAGTAGCTTGCTTCTGGCCCCAAGTGTCTGCACCCAGGCCCAGTTTCCGATACTGGCCAGGGCCTCGTGCAGTTAGGCACGTTCAGACAGCCACCCAGCCTCCAAGTGTTCGCAGCATTCTCATTGGCTCCCAGCTTGTGTGACGAGAATGCTGCTCTCTCATTGGCCCGGGGCCAGTCCATGATGTGTTGCCTCACACAGCGTGTGACCCCAGGCGCAACCACCTGAGCCCTGGGGTCAACTGTACAGCACAGCCCTTGAAAGAGCCTGAAGGCTCACATTACTCTGTAACCAACTGGTGTGCTGCAACTGTCTGCATACCCGCCTACGGAAAAATGTTTAAAACAGGCCTCTCGTGGATATTCAGGCCCGCCTTCACTTAGGGGCCACGGTGGGCACAGGCTTGCTAAGGGCCGCAGCCCAGAACACTTGTAAGGGCCCCGCAAGGGCTCATTACTCGCATTCCATCCCCCTTAGCTTTGAAGTCCGCTGAGATGCTTCTACGCACTGCCAGGTGCTTTCCCCTTCAGTCTTCGTTCATATTCTGCCACAATCTGAGGTTCCGTCTTGACAAGCTCCTCTCTTGTGAACCAACGATCTTCTTTCGGATCTGTATGATGCCTGAATCTGACCCCGTACCCCCTCATAGGTTTGGGCGGTCTTCCCCTGTCAAGAGGTTTGGGAACAAGCAAGTCTCTGTGTGTTCCAAGATGTCGTCGACGTCCAAGTGGCCATCCATGGTTGGGGGCAGCATTGAGCTTGAATTTCTTGTTGGGAATAGATCCGTCTCCGCGAATGGTGCAAGTCTGGAAGCATGAAATACAAGGTACTAAGTGCACAGATGACCAGGGATTCTGATGACGTGCGGCGGACCATGATCTAGATCACTACCCACAATGTCCAAGACTTCCCAAGGACCAAAGTACTGCGGCATTAATTTTCTAGAAATGCCAAACTCCTGTCCTGGTTCACTAGCCTTTACCCAAACACGTTCCCCTATCTGAAATGAGGACTGTTGCCTATGCTTGTTCTCATAGGCAATCATTGCCTCTTGAGACTTTCTGATATGCTTGACACTGTTGACAACCTGCTGCAACAGTTTCTCATACTGGACACCAAATTCAATGGTTCCCGGAGTTGCAGCCGGTCGGTTTTCAGGTAGGAGGAAGTTTAATGCAGATCTAGATACAAGTGATACAAAATGATAAGTGTCCCTGGACTCTACATCTCTCAGCATGAAACACTTCAATTCACCGCGCAACCTTTGTGCTCTACCCTTTTGTCCAATTCTGCTCAGGTAAAGAGGACTATTCACTCCAAGGCTCTAGTTTTTATCCTACTGTCTACCTGCTTCCTTGTGATCGAGAGGCTTGTCAGTGTGCCGTCATCGGATCGGCTCCCAGGCGCCACCGGTTGTGCTCAGGAAAACAAGAAAAAAAAAGGCAAAACTTTTGTGGGGTCTGGTAGGCTTTAGTGCCGTCTGCCGTCCCCCATGGTGCTAGAGCAAGTGGATCGTTGCCGCCTCTGCTCAAAACATTTTGGCCCCACTCGATCATGACAGCTCAACCCCTTCATCCGTTGTGACCTATAGGCGTCTTTGTCCCCCTCTCCCTCCTTCCCGCTCTTCCCTAGTCTATCAACCATTGATTGGGCCATTTCATTCCAGAAAGAAGAATCCACTCTTCTCGCCACTCTTCATTCCTGCTTCGGGACTTTTCCAAGGGTAATCGCATACCCTAAACTCCTTCATAAACGTAAGCAAACTCCACCCAGTCATGAACTTCGCATTTGCGATGTCCACGATCCGAAATATCGTGTTTGACACAGCCACAAACTTCTGGGGTTTTGGAGCAATGCCATACGAATGGAAGCTTCTCAAGGTCCTGCCTGTATTTCCCCGTTTGTCCTCTCCAGATTGTCTCAATATTCTTGAACTTATGCATGCTGTGTATCCATGCTGGCGAATCAGTAATGATCGACCTCGTTTCCAGAAATTCCAGCAGACCACAGTCTGCATCTGTTCTTTTTCCAAAGTCTGGTCTTGATGATAACAACCCAATACTCGATCCAAACTATCATTCAGCTTATCCATCCTCCCCTTTACACACCACCCGACCAGAAGCAAGTCGTCAATGAAGCGATTGCGATTGATGTATCTTGCATCTGTGCCAAGTGAAGTCAAGAACTGTTGCTCGGCAAATATGCAAATGTATTTGCCAAAGGAGGGCTCGCTCTCCCACCCATTTGCCTGGGTACATGTGACTTTCCCAATGTTGCCTTCTTTCCTTCTGTGTTTAATCTGATCCAATCGTGTCCTTGTTGAGTTCAGCAGCAACCATTCGACAGCGTTCACAATTTTTTGATGTGGTAGTTTCGTGAACATTTCT